CCCTCTTGATCAACACTCTTCCAAGACTCACTCCGCTGGCTCGACCAAGGCACTGGTCGAGTCCAGCGGTCCAGATGGCGCAGGGCACGAGGTTTCCCTTGGGAAGCATTCTCGTACTGACCAAGGTGAGGTGGTCATGAAGCGAGTGCACACCAGCCATCAATGGCCTGATCCGTTGGCCCCAAAGTCGACATCCCTTTTGTCGGCCTCCGTGAATGAGGTGGCTGAGCGCCTCGAGGGTGCTCTCCTCGAGGAAGACCGCAAGAAGGCCAGCGTCACCTTGCCCGAAGTTGGCGACAAGCTTGTGCAGTGGCTTACCCAGGTATTAATTATCTTATATTTACATCGATTCCATCCTGCCTTTGTTTTTGGACATATAGATTAAATTGTCTTATTTTGCTCGATTACAGGGCTTGGTCGAATTCTTGCCTCTGGCCAAAGAAGCTCGAGATAGCTCTGGCAAGTCCATAAAGAGCCTCGAGAGAAACATTTGCTTTCTGCAAGACAAAAACTCAACTCTCCTGCAGCACAACACCAAACTACGCGAGACGCAGACCGAACAGAAGGCCAAGTTCGAAGTCAAGGTTAAGTCCCTTGATGAAGAGCTCGCCCTAAAGAATAAAGTTCTCGTGGAGCGGGAGGCCGTCCTTGCGATAAAAGAAGTTGCGGTGGCCGATAAAGAAACCGCTCTAAAAGAGAAGGAGGCTGCGCTCGAACAAGAGCGGTCTGCTCGAGCCCAAGTTGAGACTGCTCGAGCGCAGGCGGAGGCTGCTCCAGCACAGGCAGAATGGCTCGATCACAGGCAGAGGCTGCCCGATTTGAGATGAAGACTACCTTGGCCAAAGAAAGGGCTGCCCACACCGAAGAGAAGCAGAGATATGCAAATGCCACTGCTCTCCGAGCTAGGCAGATGCTCTGGGCGACAACAACCGGGCAGCTCTTCCTCCGCGAACATCGCACACAAGTGGTGGCTGATTTCATGCAGTTGCCACAATTCTTGAAGGAGGTCCAAGATTTCGGGGTGGACTGCTTCCAGTTCGCCCTGCAGAAGGCTGGCGAGCAGATCGCAGAGGATGACTTCGAGCAGCTCGATCCCGGGGCTATCTGGGACGCCTTGCCAAAGGTTCCCTCTAGTATTCGCGGTGACCCTACTCTGCCGCTCGAGCATGAGTGGTGGTCGGGGCAACTCGAAAGAACCTTAGGCCGATCGGATATTGAAAAAGACCTTTGCTCTGCCCGATGATGCTACTCCTCCAGCTGCTATGTTGGTCGCAATGGTTGAATCTATTCAACGACGTCCACACAACGAGGCCTGCGACTCAACCTCTGGTACCAGCCATCTGCCCGATCCTAATGCTAACTCGAGCAACGCTGACTCGGCCGCGGCCCCTCCTCTTTAGATTAGCTTTTTTTGTCTTTTATTTCTTTCGTACTTTAGTCTTGTAATGCAATGTACTTTATAATTTCCTTGGAATGATAATGTTTTGTTTTCGATTTGTCCTTGTCTTCAATAATGTTCTTGATGACCTGACTTGATACTTTTGCACATGATCGATGCAAGCCTTATCATAGGACTGACATATTCCCATTAGTCTCCTATTACAGCTGATTTGTTTGTCTCGTAATCATTAGATAACTTGAACTTAGCCCTGTCATACACACATACGTATCCACCTCCAGAAATGGTTGATGTATGCGACCATCGACATATAAACATGATGTGTTTTAGGCTTTGAACACATGCCCACCTTCGGATGTAGTCTAAGCATGCAATCACTCAGCCTCGCGGCCTTAAACATGATGGATTTCTTCGAGCGCATGCCCACCCTCAAAGGAGTGGTCGTTACATGCGACCATCCAGCCTCATGGCCTTAATCATGATGGATTTCTTCGAGCGCATGCCCACCCTCAAAGGAGTGGTCGTTACATGCGACCATCCAACCTTATGGCCTAAATCATGATGGCTTTTTATCTCGAACACATGCCCACCCTCAAAGGAGTGGTCGTTACATGGGACCGTCTAGCCTAATGGCCTTAATCATGATGGATTTCTTCGAGCGCATGCCCACCCTCAAAGGAGTGGTCGTTACATGCGACCATCTAGCCTCATGGCCTTAATCATGATGGCTTTTTATCTCGAACACATGCCCACCCTTAAAGGAGTGGTCGTTACATGCGACCATCAAGCCTCATGGCCTTAATCATGATGGATTTTTGTTCTTCGAACACATGCCCACCCTCAAAGGAGTGGTCGTTACATGCGACCATCCAGCCTCATGGCCTTAATCATGATGGATTTTTGTTCTCGAACACATGCCCACTCTCAAAGGGATGGTCGTTACATGCGACCATCCAGGCTCATGGCCTTATTCATGATGGATTTTTTGCATATGACCTGTCACCAGGGTTAATCCAGGAATTCCAACTATATGAAATAATTCGATAAACAATAAATTGCAGAAATTCCAGTACACCACTTCATTGATTATCAAGTGAAAGAATTCATTACATTGGTTCCATCAAGTTTCTTTATAAATAAAAAAGAAAAAAATTTAAGCATAATATTTCTTCAAGTTAGCCACATTCCATGACCTAGCTAGAGATCTTCCTTCCGCATCCTTCAAAGAGTATGCCCCTCCAGCATGGACTTTTTCGACCAGGTATGGTCCTTCCCAGTTCGGCTTTAATTTTCTGACATGCTTCAACACATCGACTCTTTTCCACACCAAGTCCCCCACTTGGAATCTTCGTACTTTCACCTTCCTATCGTGTGTTGCTCGCGTCCTCTGCTTGTATGCCTCGACTCTGATTAAGGCTTTTTCTCGAAGCTCTTCGATTGTGTCGAGCGCTGTCATCATCAAATGTTCATTCTGTTCTCGATCATATGCGCTCGATCTTTGGGACTCTACTTCGACTTCCACCGGCAACAAAGCTTCCATTCTATAAACCATACTGAACGGTGTTTCTCCAGTGGTCGATCGAGGCGTTGTTCTGTATGCCCATAGCACCGAAGTAAGTTCATCCACCCACGCTCCCGATGCCTTCTCCAGCATTGTTTTTAGACCATTCAGTATGATCCTGTTGGTCACTTCGACCTGCCCGTTGGCTTGCGGATGCGCGACTGAAGCGAAGTGTTGCTCGATTTTCATGTCCTCGCACCATGCCCGAATCCACTGCCATTAAATTGGGTCCCGTTGTCTGACACCAGCACTTTAGGGACTCCAAACCTGCAGCATATGTTGTTATATAGAAAATGTATTACTTTCTCCTCCGTGATCTTTGCCAAAGGTTCCGCCTCCACCCACTTCGTAAAATAATCGACCGCAACAATCAAAAACTTTCTCTGTCCAGTTCCTTGAGGCATGGGCCCAACCAGGTCAATCCCCCATTGGACGAACGGAATGGGAGAACTCATCGCCGTCATTGCTTCGGCTGGTTGGTGAATAAGCGGGCCATGTTTCTGGCATTGCAAACATCTTCGCACCATCACTTTTGCATCTTCCCTCATTATCGGCCAGAAATATCCTGCCCTTAGAACTTTCGCCACCAGGGAACCTGCCTTGCTATGGTCGCTGCAACATCCCTCGTGGATCTTCTTCAATACGTAACGTCCCTCTTCTCTGGTCACGCATCGCAAGTGCGGGCCTGCGTGCGACCTTTCGTATAGGATCCCTCCGTGCTAAAAAAATCTCCTTATTACTTTAACGACCCCTTCCTCCAATTCTTTGATTATCAGTGCCCTCCAATCTTCAACTTATTCTATTTCGGCCACCTCCTTCTCGACCACACTCCTCTCCATATGTAGCAGGGTCACACTCCTGCTCTTGCAATCTACCAGACTTTGTGCTATTTTAGCTAGTAGGTCCGCTCGACCATTTTCTCCTCGAGGTATCTGGATCAACTCGAATGAACCAAACTCCTCCTGTAGATTCTTCATCTCCTCCACATACTTCACCATCCTTTCTTCCCTGACTTCAAACCCTTCTTGGAATTGACCCACCACCAATTGTGAATCTGAATGTATCTGTACTTTCCGAGCTCCGCCGGCTAGGGCCAATCTGAGGCCTTTAATGACTGCTTCATACTCCGCCTCGTTATTTGATATCTGGTACGCCACTTTAACTGCAAACTCGAGAATATCACCCTTTGGCGATATAAGTACAATGCCTAGGCCACCCCGGCCCTCGACACCGATCCATCTGCGTACACCTGCCACACTCCTTCAGATTCCTCCTCTTCCTTCGTCCCTTCTTGTATGAAATCGGCCAGTGCCTGAGCCTTGATCGCCCTTCTTGTCTCATAAATAATCGTGTACTCGGAGGGTCATCCCAACATTTCTCCTAGTGGCATATTCGTCCGAACTTTCACCCTATGTCCCAAGAAATATGGCCTCAGCTTTCTGACAGTGACGACCACTGCAATGGCCCCTTTCTCGATCTCTGAATACCTCTTCTCCGCCCCCTGCATCACCTTACTTACGTAATAGATAGGGAATTGGGCTGTCCCTTCCTCCCGCAATAACACCGAGCTCACTGCCGTCTCACCAATGGACACATATAACACCAAGTCCTCCCCTTGCACCGGTTTTGCCAATAGTGGCAGGTCGACCAGCACCTTCTACAACTCCTCGAATGCCTTCTGGGCTTCTTCTGTCCATTCGAACTTCGAGCTTTTCCTGAGTGTTTTGAACAGGGGCCCACTCTTCTCCGCCACCTTAGAGATAAAACGGCTCAGGCCCACTATTCGACTAGTTAGGATCTGCACTTCCTTCACCTTCGTAGGAGGTTGCATCTCGACCACCGCTCTCACTTTCTCCAGGTTGACCTCTTTCCTCTCTTTGTGACCATATAGCCCAAAAACTTCCCCGATTTGACCCCAAATGAGCATTTAGCAGGATTCAACTTCATTCCGTATTTCCGAAGGGTCATGAATGTTTTTTTCAAGTCGTTCACGTGATCGATCTCCTCTTTGCTCTTTACCAGCATATCGTTCACATACACCTCCATGTTCCTCCCCAGCTGCTCCTTAAAGATTTTATCCACCAATCTCTGATATGTTGCTCCTGCATTTTTTAGACCGAACGACATTACCACATAATAGTAGGTTCCTCGGCTTGTCACAAAACTGACCCTCTTCCAATCTTCTCGCGCCATTGGGATTTGATGATACCCCTGGGATGCATCCATCAAGCTGAGTAGCTCACATCCGGTCGTGGAATCGACCAGCTGGTCGATCCTGGGTAGTGGATATAAGTCCTTCGGGCATGCCTTATTCAAATCCCGAAAATCTATGCACATCCGCCATTTCCCCTCTGACTTTGAGACCATCACCGTATTCGATAGCCACTTTGGGAATTGGATCTCCTTTATGTGGCCTGCCATCAAGAGCTTTTCTACCTCCAACTCAATCACTTTATCCATTTCGGCCCCGTGATGTCTCCTCTTTTGCTTCACCGGCCTTATACTGAGATCAATATTCAACCGGTGCTCGATAACTTCAGCCTTGATGCCAGTCAACTCCTCCGTCGAGTATGCGAACACATCCGCAAATTCCCTTATCATACTAATCAGCCTCGATCTCACTGGCTCCCCCAATTCCTTCTCGATTCGAAACATTCTCTCTTCATACCCCTCGACCATCTGTACCTCCTCGACTTTGCCACCCGGCTAGATATCTACCTTCTCCTTCCCCTTCTCCAACATGTGCCATTCCTCCTTTGATCTCGACCCTCCTGGTCGACTAGCTTCCTCCTCTTTGGGGCGTGCCTGCCTCATTGCTAGTTGTTCGTTGTTACTCACAGTGGTCTGGTAACAACTTCTCGAGGTAAGTTGATCTCCAGCGATCTCACCAACGTTTTCGCCCACCGGATATTTGATCGTCATGTGGTACGTGGATACGACCGCCTAGAACGCATTCAAGCTCGTTCTCCCCATTATGATGTTGTAAGATGATTCAGCTCCTACGACCACAAATCTCACCATTCGAACTTTTCGGGTCGCTCCTTTTCCCAGTGCTACAGATAGACTCACTTCTTCCATTGGCATAACCTCCCCGCCATTAAAGCCATACAAGGCCGTAGCCACCGACTTTAGCTCCACATTCAACTCCCGATTGATTTGCGCAAAGCAATCATAGAACATGACATCAACCGAACTTTCTGTGTCTATAAACACCCTTTCACATAAAAACCTGCAACTTCTGCCGTAATCACCAAGGCATCATTGTGAGGTATCACCACCCCTGCTACATCCTCTGCACGAAAACTAATTTCTGGTACTCGGGCCGTGATACCCACCTCCTCCCTTTTTCTCTTCATTGCTCGAACATGACCCCTCCTCGCATTATTCGAGTCTCCGTCCGTCGGTCCTCCTGAAATCATATATACTGTGCCCCTCTTCACTTGGCCTCCATCTTTTTATCTCTCTCGCTCCCTACTTCCTCGCCTCATTTTCCCTTCATCTCTCTTTCGACCATCTCGACCACCTCGTGGATCCTCATCATCATCCTCATTGCTCCTCTCCACTGATTCCTCCCGACACCTCCTCTTCTCCTTCCCCCTCACCTTATCCTGATAAACAAACTCCTTGAGATGCCCTGCTCGAATAAGGCACTCGATTTCGTCTTTGAGATGTCGACAATCCTCAGTAGTATGGCCATAGTCTTTGTGGAAGCGGCAATATCTCCTTGACTTCAGTTGAGTTGGCCCTTCGAACCTCGACCTCGGCCACGTCACATATTTCCCATCTATCCCTTTCTCCATGGCCATCAAGACCTCGGCTACCTTTGCGTTCAGCGGGGTATAATCATGAAATCTCTTCCCTCCAGAGATAGGCTGGTCCTTCCATCTGTCCTCTCGTTCCCGATCCTTCTTAGCTCGCCCCTTTCTCCTGGGCAAAGCTATCCTCTTGGGCGAAACTGCTTTCTCCTTCTTCGACTCCCCACGACCGAACTCCTCTAGTTTGGCAAACTCCGCCTCAGTCTCCTCGAGATTAATATATTTCCTACACCTCTTCAAAACCTCATCATAAATATGAGCAAGGGTCTTAGCCAGAGAGGTCCGACATGGTCCTGCTCGTAAACTCCTTATCAATCCCTCCGATTTAACCTCATCGACCGCCGACGGTATCTCCAAACAAGCCTGGTTGTATCGGGCTATATATTTGCGCAGTGACTCCTTCTCGCCTTGTCTCATCGCCATCAGGGTTAAGAACGTCTTCTCTTGAGCCACTGCGCTCGAGTATTGATTCGTCAACTTCTCCGCAAAATCCTCAAAGTCTGCGATCGAGCCTGGAGGGAGCTGCTGGAACCAATCGAGGGCGCCTCCCCTGAGGGTCGATAGAAATGCCCTGCAACTAACGGGGTCAGTATATCCATGCAACACAGCCATGTTTTTGAATGTCCTCACGTGCCTCGACGGGTCAGAAGTCCCATCGAACACCAAGTTGGTATCCTTGAAATTTATTGGCAAGGGTGCTGCTAGTATGTCCGCCGAGAATGGGTGTCCTCGAGCGCATCTCTCCATCCGATCATCCACCTTAGCCTGCAATTGACGCAACTGTTCCGCCATTCTCTCCATCTCTCGATCATGTGGGGCCCGCCTCCACCATAGCTAGATTCATCCTCCTCCGCATTTTGGCATGACCCCGCAACAGTGTTCGGCATCGCGGTAGCTCGAGAGAGACTGTTTGTGACTTGCTACACCGCCTGCGCAGCTGCCTCCGCCACCATTTGTTGCATCTCCTGCCTGTTCATCACCACCTGCTGGCCGGGGACTTGCACCGTTGCCTGTGGTGGAACTCCTCCTTGTCCCGCCGTTCCTCCAAAAATGTGCCGCCGTTCCTCCTGGTGGCGCCACCGCTGGGTTTTGAGGCGGCAGTGGTGGCATCGCCGCCGCATCCGCTGCGCGAGTCTCCTGGGCACGATTGGAGCCGGTATCTCCTCCGGGAATCGTTGTCGTCGCTCTTACACCTTGAAGAACCGGCGTAGGAGTGATCGGCGTCTGCGATGGGCCAAAAAAACCCGGAGGAGGGCCTTGTCCAAACGGCCTGATCGTCGTCCAAGCGTTGTCGAATGTCGACTGCAAGTTTTTGGGGATCCCGTCCGCCATAGCTGATCTTAAAACACAACTTTTCAAACGAAAGTTCCCACAGACGGTGCCAAATGGTAACACAAAACTTCCCGACCGGCTGGAACGTGGATAATCGCCTTCCTTCTCGCTGGTTGAACGTCGTGCACCTACAAAGAACTCTCACACCAGAGGAGTTTTCTGTTGAAGAGCCTCCGAAGCTTAAGTCAGTGTATGTTCAATCAATTCTCAAGAGTAAGTAATAGAATGATCGTGTTGAAGAAGAAAGGCTCATCCCCTTTATATAGGGGTGAGATACCTGACCTAGGGCTACCCAGATTTGATGGGCTGTCTGCCCTAACTGCCCGTCCGTACACATCATACGCGTGTGTCAGAGGTAGCCGTCACCACTATCGCCTGCACCAATCCCCTTTTGACGCGTGTCCTCCTGCACATGGGGTAGGCTGTTAGAGGTGGTTATCGCTATCAACCACTGCCTTCTCGACACGTGTCCCCCTACACATGGGGTAAATATTCTCCTGGAATTCAGTTAGAGGCTCTTTCACGCGCCTGTGCCTAGGCCGATCAGCGTGGTGTTAAGTCCTCGAAGTGGTCGACCTATCGAGGCCGACTGAACTGCTCGATCATTCACCTGGTTGAAGGATAGTTTGGTCGACAGCCTTGTTGGTCGACTGGTTAACTGCTCGATTTTCTTTAATTTCCTCATAATACGACCTCCTCGACCAGTCAATAGACCGGTTTAGCCTTGTGCGTATAATATCCTATATCACCTATCTAAGCCAAAATCTAAATAGACGTCTCCCACTGCAACTGCTGACGCTCTACTAGCATTGCCCAAGTAGATGGTAATTTCTCCTTCCCTAAGTCGCTTGGTTTCCTAGAACCCCTGCAATGAATTGCAGACATGATCAGTGGCCCCTGTATCTACACACCAGGTACTGGTAGATAACACCGCTAAACATATTTCAACGACTAAAGCAAAAGGTGTACCTTTATCGGACTTTTTGGGGAAAGGGCAGTTTGCCTTCCAGTGTCCTTTCTGCTGGCAATTGTGGCACTTGCCTTTTGGCTTCATCGCTTTTTGTCGAGGTTGCGCGTCACTCATGACCGCCTTGCCCTTTCCTGCGGACTTCTTCCTCTTCTTGTCCTTAGGAGCCTTAGAAGTGGAAGCTTCTCCCCGCTGGGCCACCATAGCTTGGGTCTTCTGACGAAACAGGCCCTCTGCCGACTGAAGTTCAGAGACAAGTTCCGGAAGAGTCATCAACATCTTATTCATGTTGTAATTCAACCGGAATTGCTCGAAGCTTTTCGGCAAAGACTGGAGCACTATATCGACCTGGGTTTCCCCGTCAATAAAAGCCCCAAGAACTTCCAGCTCATTCAGCTGGGCCATCATAGCAAGAACATGTTCCCTTACGGGAGTGCCCTCGCGCATGGTCATGTTCATCAGAACCCTCATGGCTTCTTGTCGGGCAGCCCGCGACTGATGACCAAATAACTCCTTGAGATTGAGAAGCATCTCTGCTTCTGGTGCATTGTCAGCAGGCACAGCCGGACAAGCCTCAACAGTAGCAAATTTGTACCCTTCAGCAGTTAACACAATATCCAAGTTCCTTTTCCAGTCAATATAATTGGGACCAACAAGTTTGTTTTCTTTGAGAATTACGGACTACGGATTGAAAGACATTTTGAATTCCTGTGATCATGCAAACATAGTCATTACTCAGTCAAGTAGTTTTGAATTTATACATCAAATATTGATCCCATTAACAATATTCAAATAAATTCACCAACAGCTCAAAGCACCGAATCCCCGCAGGCCACGGAGTGTGGACTTCTACGGTTCAAACATTCGCAAGAGGAGGGATAAATCCCATTAGCTTAACATGCTGCTGAGAAATACTTAACTAATAGTCGGTTTCATCTTTTGGCCAGCGCAATTAACTTTATAAAAGAATAAAAACGACCTTAGCCTTTGGGACTATCGTAGTTATTTGCACTTTAAGTGTAACCCATTAATTGGTACTAAGTTTACTACCAAAATTATACGTCCACCTTTGGGTGACCCGTACGCTTTTGAAATAGCTCACTATAACCATCCCGAAGGAGATTCGTCCTCGTGAACTGTGAAATAAAACGTCCTTTGGGCTCGAATTAAATCACTTCACTGACAAATCTATAATGGAGGCCTTAGATGTAATTTATTTCAACCCATTAAACACTTAATATAATTTTTATTTTATGGGATTTTCGAAAACATGTTTGTATTTTCACATAAGCAATCACATAAAACATGCATGATTAATGAGCAATAACAAACTAGGAACTATAATCCAACTATCATGGTCATTAATCAATCTCCAATGTTACGGAGAAAACACAGTCCTGTCCTTGTTGAGTGTGTCCTCCATTTCAGGTATTGGAACTCCCCTTTCGCAGTGACTCCCACTGAATTGGTTGTCTCCAGGAAAGTCACCATTGGATCATCACCATGGCATCTGTGTACATGTTTATCGCCTCGCCCCGTCAAGGTTGGTCCACGCCCACCGGATCAATAACGAATAATATAAACAACAATTACATAATTCATCCTATGACCCACGCAGGAGCCGTACATGCTATGCGGTGTCCCACCGTGCGAATAATTTATTACAAGCATTCACCAACCCAAAAAATTCCTTGACATGTCCAAGGCTTTAAAAACAGCATACATTCAACATGAATTAAAATCCATACATACAGGCCACAATAGTCGGATTCGAAAACCTGCAAAAACTTATTGCAATTTCTAATCTACTATGTTGCTGCGTACGTACGCACATAATTCATGTAGACAGGCAAAGTCCAAAATTCAAATTGTGCACGAGTTTGCATTAAGCCTGGGGCTCTGATACCAGTTGTTGGGTTCTGTTAGGAATGTCAAACAACATGCACAGTATTGAACTTATCGAAATATATCCTAACGCAGCGGAATCTATAGTTAGGATATAGACGTTTACCTTTTAAAATTTTTGCCGACTCTGAGACGATGTAGATTATCGTTGATAAAGTTCGTCTGAACACCACAACCTAATGGCCGGATAGGTTTGGCCTTTAGTTGATTCTAATCGACACGTCAAATGGTCCTCGATCGAACAACACGCGGGTCTCGACGTCGGGTTGCAGTGGCAGGTGCGCGTCGGGCGCTGGGCGCAGGCGTGCGTGTTGCGGACAGCAACTGGCGAGCGTCAGGCACTGGGAGCTGGCAGGCAGATCGCGCACGTGCGTTGCTGGGCTATGCGGACGGGCGCTGGCGTGCGTGTCGCGGACGTGCGCTGGGACTCCTAGGCCTTCGCGGACTAGGCGCTGGCGTCTGGGATCATGCGGGCGTATGCTGCGGTTCTCCTGGGCATGCGAGGAATAGCGGGCGCATTGTGGATGGGCGTTGGGATCTCGCAGGCAGGATGACTAGCAGCTGGAGTGGGACATGGTGTATTTATAGGCTCCATTAGGGACCTTAATGAGGTGCTAAATATGGGCTTATTCCATTAGGCCTAGGAATCCTAATTCTAATCCAATACTAACTCAATGTAGGAAGGAGATCTCCTACTAATCCATCTCTTCTAGAAGACTCCTTAGTCTCCTAACACTAGAGAAGATCCTTGTAGGAATATCTTTCCTAATTAAATTAATAATCATGGAATAGAATTAATTCCTAATTTAGGATACCTAATTTTACTCCAATTAATAATATAATGTAGGAAATATATTTCCTACTAATCTCCATCTTCTAGAAGACTCCCATGTCTCCTAATCCCAAGAGAAGATTTTAGTAGGAATTTTATTCTCCTAATTAATTAATTAATATGGAATAAAATTAATTCCTATTTAATGGAATTAAATAATAAAACATCCCACTAGAGTAATATTATTGCTCTCCCCATTTAGCCACTATTTTACCAATAAAATTGAGCCTCCATGATTAAATAATATTAATCCGATTGATCGATTTACCTCTCTATGTTTAATATATAACGTCCTTTGATTAATTAAATTACTGACAAAATAATTAATCAACTTCTTATTCATTTCCGAAGTTAGTACCACTCAGATCCTTAACCATTATGTCAGACAATTGTCTACTTGCAGGGTTTAACATACCATACATTCCTGAGCTCATTTCGGGGACGTCATCAATCCAGCGCACTGGAACATAGTGACCGTAAATAATTTATAATAGCACAACATATAATTATTCTTACTTACCAAAACACCTCGTATGTAATCCTAATAAAATAGGAATCACTTGGAAATCAAATAAATAAGAAATAAAAATATATGCCTATTTTATATTATCTTACAGCTTAAGAGAACGCATCAATCACTGAAGGACGAGGTTACAACAACGGTCAGTGAGTCTCATAACCTTTGCCTTCCGCGGTCATGTTCAACACTTAATATAAGTGCTAGTGTAATTCTCCAGTCAAAGACCAACTGAATCAAGAATACACTACAGTCTTTTTCTAAATGGGGTCTCACTGCCAGTCTAGACTGTGAACGAATGATTTAGTCTTATAAGGAACCGATAGGTGATCTTTCTATTCGAAACACTTCGAACCACACTACCTCAATATAAGACATGGAGTATGTATTGCATAAATAAATAAACTGCAAACATATGTACTTTGACCGAAACATGATGGCCAGATCAAAATGGAATTGATAGAATCTGCAAAACATAGCTTTTACAGCATACCTCTAACACAGGGAGGTTCGACAAGGCCCCGCTCGAAGACTCCTTATCAATCCTTCTGCTTTCACCTCATCCGACGCTGAGTGCACCTCTAAACATGTTTAATATATCGAGCAACATACTTCCTCAGCGACTCCTTCTCTCCCTGCCTCATCGCCATCAGCGTCAAATATGTCTTCTCATGTGCCACCGCGCTCGAATATTGGTTGGTAAGCTTGCTGGCAAAATCCTCAAAGTCCGCGATCGACCCATGGGGTAGTTGATGAAACCAGTCAAGTGCTCCTCCACGCAAGGTCGATAGAAATGCCCTACAACATACATAATCAGAATATCCATGTAATACAGCCATGTTCTCAAAGGTCCTCACATGCCTCGATGGGTCAGATGACCCGTCATACACCAGATTAGTCTCCTTGAAATTATTTGGTAAGGGGGCTGCGAGAATCTCCCTCGAGAATGGATGTCCTCGAGCTCTCCTCTCCGGCCTTCCCTCAACCTTATCCTGCAACTGGCGCAACTGTTCCGCCATCCTCTCCGCACGATCTCTTCCACCTCCTCCATCTCCATAACTGGACACATCCTCGTCCTGGCCTCCTACCGCTGTGGTCGGCGCGGTGGTGGCGTGAGACGTGTAGCTCGTGACTTGCTGCACCGCCTGCGCCGCTGCAGCTGCCGCTATCCTCTGCATCTCCTCCCTGGTCATCGTCACCATTTGTTGACCAGGAGCTTGTGCAAAAGCTTGTTGTGGTGCTCCTCCTTGTGTCTCCATCCCTCCTTGTACCATCACTCCTCCTGGTTGCACCACCACGGGATTTCGGGGCGGCGGCGGTGGCATCGCCGCCGCAGCTGCTGCACGAGCCTCTTGAGCACGACTGGAGCTGGAATCTCCTCCGGGAATTGTTGTTGTCACTCTCACACCTTGAAGGACAGGCGTAGGAGTGATCGGCATCTGCGATGGGCCAGAAAAACCCGGAGGAGGGCCTTGACCAATCGGCCTGGTCATTGTCCAAGCATCATCGAACGTCGGCTGCAAGTTTTTGGGAATTCCGTTCGCCATAGCCGATCTGCAAACACAACTTCTCAAATGAAAGTTCCCACAGACGGCGCCAATAATGCAGGTGTGAACGTCTTGGTCCGACTTGGGGTAGATCGATTCTTGTCCTCGCCGGAAACCTGCAAACAACTCTCACACCGGGGGTTGTCTCTGGTGAAGAGCCTCCGATGCTTAAGTCAGTATGTGTTTGAGTATATCGGAGTGAATAATAGAGAAAATCCTGTTCAAGAAGAAAGGCTCACCCCTTTATATAGGGGTGAGATACCTGACCTAGGGCTGCCTGGATTTGGTGAGTTGTCTGCCCTAACTGCTCGTCCGTACACACAATACGCGTGTGTCAGAGGTAGCCGTCGCCACTATCGCCTGCACCAATACGCTTTGGACGCGTGTCCTCCTGCACATGGGGTAGGCTGTCAGAGGTGGTTATTGCTATCAACCGCTGCATTCTCGACACGTATCCCCCTGCACATAGGGTAAATATTCTCCTGAAATTCTGTTAGAGGCTCTCTCACGCGCCTGTGACTAGGCCGAACAGTGTAGTGTTAAGTCCTCAAAGTGGTCGACCTGTTGAGGCTGACTGAACTGCTCGATCGTTCATCTGGTCGAAGGATAGTTTGGTCGACGGCTTTGCTGGTCGACTGGTTAACTGCTCGATTTCCTCGACTTCCTCATAATACGACTTCCTCGACCGGTCAATAGACCGGTTTAGCCTTGTGGGTATAATATCCTATATCATGGTTAGAATAGGTCGTAGCTCGGTATCTTCCTCTTCCGGCGAATTATACACACAGCTTGGCTAAGCCTTTTTCTCTTGGCTTTCTATGATTTATAGCTAAATAAGGAATGAATATTTTGTGAAGTATGATGAGTGAAATGAAATAACACTCAACTCAAACCTGATAATAAGTTAAGGAGATGATATTTTGGAAATATGTTGAATTAAAATGAGGTAAAACTCACCTCATGTCCTTCTCGGTTTTCTTATATGGCTAAGGAAAGTGGTGGATATTTTATGAAATATTTAGAGAAAAATGAAGTAAAAATCCTGATGCTAATGCATATATATATCTATATAGGCAATGTGATCAAGAGGCAATAAGATAAAGATTTTCTCCTTTAAATCTCATATGGACACATGTCCCTACACTAATCTTAAGTGGAGATTTAAATTAGCTTAGTCATAAGGCCAAGTGTCACTCTCTCCACATCTTAATCATGCTAGGATATTCTTAATAAAATGCTAGGAAATTGAATTACAAATTAGCTTGAAAATTAATTTGAACTTTAGCTTAGGTTTTTGGCTCGGCACCTTTGGGCTTGAAATGGCATGATCTTTAGAATGAAAGTAATGACTTCTAAAAGTTTGGAAAATTCTAAGAAAAATGCACCCAAGGCTCGACTAGGTTTAAGCAAAGCAAGTCGATGACCGAACTTGTTCGGTTCCAAATGTGGCTCGACTTCGACAATTTCCTGAATGATCTCGAATTCGATTAATACATCGACTTGGCATAATTAATCCCGACTTATAAGGAATTACTAATGTTCATTTATAAAATAGACAGACCGGGATTAATTTCCAGAACTGACTCGGTTACTGAATAAACTTTAAACCGAGTATACTCTCGACTTAAAGTCGAACTTGAAACTTACTAACTGAATAATTGAATAACTTAAGCTCGAAACTGACATCGAGCATTTATTAATAAAACCTAGCTTACACTTGGAAGCTAATATCTTTCCTTTGTTAATAAAAGACGGGGCGTTACAACGATAATCACAAACGAAATCAATACATCATCCCCTATCCCCTAGCATATCTAATTAGCTACTCCTAATAAATTCAACATAATCAACCTCAACAATCAAAGCAATCATATTCATGGATTAAATGAATACAAAAACTTATGATTAAAATGAAACTGAAAGTTGAATCTGGAATACAAGATTAATCTGAATGAAATGAAGTAATCCAAGTTCAATTGTTTTGTTCTGAGATGAAAAATATGAAGAAAGTGAGTTTAAGAGAGACGGGGGCTAGGTTTTTCTTTTTTGGAGAAGAGATATGGATATAACGAAGTCCCGATAATATATATTTATAGGTGGCAGAGAGCCACGATGTGGAGCTAGGCACGCGGCATGGAGGGAGCAACAACCGCGGCGTGAAGAGGGCGCGGTGTAACGTCCCGTTTTATTTTAAGAATTTACCGAATTTATTTATAATAATCATAGTTAACTTTTCGCAAAATCCCAATTTAGAACCTTGATTATCAACGGACGCTACTTAACTACCAACAATAATTAAACAAATACAAACAAGTATAATGAACCTACGCATGCATAACTAACATTTATAAATATCAAATCGACTTATTCAATAATTCCAAAACCATCCAGAGAGTTTAACATGAATCAACTGTTCATCCAAACATAATCATGGTGCTCAAAGCGGAAACATAAATATTCCAAAATAAAAACAAGTAGTTTCAACAAGATAAATAACAGGCGGAAGCAAGGGACACTAAAAATGCAACAACGAATGACCACCACTCGATCGTCTTCTCGCCGCCGCCGCCAGCCATGTTCAACCTAAAGAAAATAAGAGGAGACAAAGAGGAAAACAATGGGGGTGAGCAAAACCATTATGCTCACCTTTTTAACGCACAATATATCTCGCATAAACATGCAAAACCATAAATAAAGTATGCATAGAATCCAAGCTCTAACTCCCTAAACAGCCGTATCGCAAACCTCCTATGTACATACAACAACCTTCTGATCAGACATCAGCAAGGAGTAACTGAAAACCTTCTCACCCCGAGTACAACGGGCGAAGGATCCTTTCCAAGAGACAGTAGAGCTGTTTTTCCCCCTATGATACAACGGTACAGGGCGTCCTCCTACCGGATACAGCGGGCAGGTGACCTTTCACTGCTTATGGATTCATCAAAGGCACTATCAACGAGACACTTAGACTAGGGTTCTCACGCATACAACAAATATCGAAACGAACATTTATACAAAATAACAGGTGCGATAATTATAGATACAACGCAAATGTACCCACCAAAAAGTAGCGACAAACACAAACGCGAGGCTCGAATAAGTGGTGAGGTCAACACCTCAAAACACCTACATGAAACCAAGGTAATCTCTCGGTTACAATCCAATATAACGAACACACAAACTTAGTCGAAGCTCGTCGACTAAGTGGCTCGTGGAAAATTCTCGTGGAGTTATGGAACATTTGTCTCGACTCGAAACTAAGTATGGGGAAAGGTACATAATAGTCAAACAAGGGTTGACCAAGTCAAACAAAAGTCGAAGGGTTTAACTAGGGTCAAGGTTCGGGAAAAAGTCCAACAAACCGGGGTACTAATTGGTCTATCTCAAAATCCACCTGAGGGTTCGACTCCATATTCCGAACAAACATCAGCATTGAGTAACATTCATGAAAGATCATCAAAAAAAAATTCATACTTAACATGATGAATTAATTTTTGCAAAATGCGACTAGTAAACCACATATTCTAGTTGACCAGGTAAATGAACAAGTTTTGATTTAAAATTTGAACACATGATATACATTACTGAATATATCAAAACCACTAAGTTTCAGCCCTATCACTTAAAGATGCGATTTTATAAAATTAAACCAAGATTTCAGCAAAAACAAGTATGAATTTAAACTTTGACCTAATGAATGATTTAAGACCTAAAATTTTTAAGCAAGTAACTTTGGTATGCTGGGAACAACATATAGAATTTCCAGGTAAAAATACTGAACAAACGAATTATGAAACTTATTGCAAGATTCAGCAGATTTCAAGATTTCAACAAAAATTTAACATAATGAATTCAATAAATCTTGGAATTTTTACATCATATAGAACAATATCAAATGAGTATGTTTATCAAGTTTCAGGCATTTTCATCAAGGAATCGATTTTGCATGACTTTTACAAGTTTCAGCCGAAATAATCAATTAATCATTTACCCTAGCAAATGGATTTCTAAAATTATAAAATTTTAACACAAGAACAATACATATCAGGGAACAACATATCCAAATTTCAAAATTTTTGGACAACAACTCAATTTATCATGAAATTAAGAATTCACAGCAACATCAATATATTTAAAAATTCATAAATTGAAATCTAAGACACCAAATGACACAAGGTCAAAACATTATCACCAGAGACACATATGTTCCATATTCGAAGAGATTTCCACGATTTCAAATCAGATCCTAAGGGTTTCACATTAAACCCTATAGATCTAACACATTAAAACATATATAATCCCATATCTTAACATTTTTAAATCAAATAAGTCATAACATCATATAATATCATATATTCAGCAAGAACACATAAAATACAAGACTAAATAATGGATTTTAACATTATATACAAAACACCTATGGGGAGAACGATGACACGGTACAATTACGGGCGTGGCTCGGCTCCTACGGGCGGGGAACTCATCTGCTTGGCTCGCTCGGCGTCTAACAGCGGCGGGGAACACATAAAAATCATGAAAAATCAGTTCCTTGATGAAAATGCCTGAAACTTGATTTATATGCTCATTTGATATTGTTCTATGTGATGTAAAAATCCCAAGATTTATTGAATTCATTATGTTAAGTTTTTGTTGAAATCTAGAAATCTGTTGATTCTTGCAATAATTTCCATAATTCGTGTGTTTAGTATTTTTACCTAGAAATTTTATATGTTGTTCCAGCATGCTAAAGTTATTTACATAAGAATTTTAGGTCTTATATCATTCATTAGGTCAGACTTTAAATTCATACATGTT